GAAACGTACATAGAAAAATAAGGGAGTCAATCTGCAGATGACACCAGCAACAAAGCAAATAGAGGGAATAAAAGTTTTAATCACAAAACTTCCAAATGGAGAGGAAGACAGGACACTGTCTTTATAGAACAGACTGTTCCAAACTTAGGGAGATAAGAATTTTCTTCAAGGTAACCGCAAAGAGAATTAACAATCCTTCTAAGCAAACCCAGAAAAATAAAAACACAAGGGCTTAGTAAGGACAAAACCAATAATAAAGAAGAAAGGAGAAAAAAATAAGTCAATCACAGAAGGACAAATATTGTATGAATCCACTATTGTAACAAGTCAATGAAAGGTTTATTCAGGAAGGAAACTCACTTTGTTGCTTACTGGGGACACGAGGGAAGGGAAGGGAAGATCTCGGACTATTTGGGGGTCACATGTTGATTTAGGTGAGAGGAGGAATGGTATGGAAAATGTGACCAGCATGGTGACATTGGGGAAAGGAAAGACTGCATGTACACAAAAGATATAGACAACAGAGGAAAATACACAACACGCAGTCTCACTAGCATCAAATACCAGACTACAGATCAATGCATAGATAGGTGAGAAGATCAGGTGGGGGTAGGTGAAGAGGAATACACCCTAGACCAAGGATAGATTTGGCTGAAGATAATCTCACATATGCACTTGTGCAACACAATTAGCTACATACACTACAGAAGCAACAGAAGACAGGGTTGGAGTAGCTCCTCAGAGACAACGAAACACCTTGTGAGAGAGAATCACTGGGCCTGCAGTGGTGGTGTCAAGTGACCATGGTCTTGGGGGACATCATGCTCAATTGGCACACATAGTTCTTAAAATTTTGGTGAGTAGTGACTGGGGTCTTAAAAGCTTTTGAGCATCCATCTAAGATGCAACTATTGGTCTCCTGTCATCTGGAGCAAAGAAGAGTGAAGAATGTCAAAGTCATCTGGAAACAATTAGTCCAGAGATAAGATGGACCATGAGGACCTCAGCCTCCAAGACTCTGAGATCAGAAGAACCAGATGGTGTCCAGCTACCAACGCCAACTGCTTGAAAAGGGACCAAATCTGGAGATCCTGGATAGAGTGGGAGGAAAAATGTGCAACAAAATTAAAAAACACAAAAATGACCAGAATTAGTTGTGGGAAAGAGACTGGTGGAACCCCTGAGACTATGGGCCTGGGTTACCCTTTGGGCCTAGAAATGGACTCACTTACACGGATTGACTCTCAGCCTAACAGTAGAAAGTCCTACATACAGAACACCCACTGTAGGTCAATGCACCCACCTTGGATCAATCAACCCTGAGACATCAAAGGGTTAGCACTCACACAGAGGGAGAGCTGGACAGACAGGCATGCATAGATAAGCAGGGCACAGGGAGGGGGTGGCCACAGAGAGGGGAGGGCAGGAGAGATTTTTATGGTTGGGGATGGTAATTGGGGCTGCGAAATCAGCTGTGCATGAACTGTGGAATGTAAAACAAGTTTGCTTGGTCAATCTACACCCAAAACACACACAAAAAAAGAAAGAAATTTAAAAATATATAAATAAATAATGTGGGGTTAAAAGCCACTTTTTCTTTCCTTTGAACTGTTTATTCATTTCTTTAACATGTTTACATGGGATTATTGGTGGCCTTTTCTCCTCTATTTTTGGAAACTTGTTATATATTAAGGATATGAACCCTTTGTGATAGAAGATGAAAATGTTTTATCCCAGTTTGTCATTTATCTTTTTACTTTGTTTATTGAATTTTATGCCATACAAAATTTTCCTGTTTTTCATATAATCGAGTTTATCTGTACTTTCTCAGGGGTCCTTATAACCCTGAGAAGTGGTTGTGATCACTCTGTACAGTGATAGGTACTGTATTAACCAGCTTAGGTCAGTTGAAAAAAGAATTCTATATCCCATGTTTTGTGATAATGTGTTTATCTTTCGTTGTCTCAGGTAATCCTGAAGAGCCCCGTGGGTGTTTTGAGAAGGCTTATGACATCTTCTGCGGGTTGCAGAAGAAAGGGCCCAAGCTGACCAGAGAGGAGGAGGAGGCCCTGAGGAGGAAGCTGACAGACACCTCTGAGAAGCCCTTATGGAGGACTATTGTGAACATCAATGCCATCCTTCTCCTGGCCGTGGCGGTCTTTGTCCATGGCTACTTTGCCTGAATTCTTATCTGAGCCACTAGACTACTTATTAAGAAAGCCACAATTTTATTGGCAGCATGGATTTCAGCATCACAGCAACATGCAAGTCACCACAGTACGACAGACTAACAGACGGTGGTGGGATTCTAAGATGTAGACCTGGAGCTCTGACCCATGCTCAGACAAGGACTATCTGGGGGTATGGTCTCAAGTCCCCCACTTTCTGAAATGGGAAGGACAGTTTCAGTCACCCACATGTAACTCTGTGGACCATTGAAAGCTTGGTCTGCCTTCTCTCCACTGTGGCCAGGCCTTACTCTGCTCAAGTTGTTCTCTCTCATTTTGTTTTTTGAATCCTTTCCCCTTATTGACTTATTGGGCCAGGGAGTGTGTGTCCACAAAGTGTAGTGTTGATAGAAAGTCCTTATCTGAGACAGCAGAAGGTGCCAGCGCCGGAAGGCAGGAGACCAGGGCACACAAGACCCCAGACTCAGAAGGGGCTGAGCACGGCAGCTAGGAATTGGGAACAGAGAAAGAAGAGAAGCACCAGGATCTGAGGGAGAGGGCTGTGTGTAAGAAGTTAGCAAGTGTGGCTCAATTTTGTAGACCATAGAAGAAGGCTGCATTACAGACCTGGCCTAGTTCACTGGACGCTGCCCATTAGAGCCACCTAAGAAGCTTTAAAGGCATCTATACCCAAGGACCAGCCTAGACCAGTTAAATCAGATTCTCAGGGGGAGACACCCGATGTCATGTGATGTTGAAGAAGCTCTCCAAGTGATTCTAATGTGAAATTAGGTTTGAGAATCTCTGGCCAGGAGTGAGAGAGATACTTCTTGCTTAACCTGATGTAAATGAAAAAAGTTCTGCTGGCACAATGGTTGTCTTAGGCTGGGCTCTCCAGATTATCTCATGGAAATGGCTCACACAGTTGTGGAGGCTGGCAAGTCCCAAGTCCATGAGTCAAACATCAAGCTGGAGGCTACGGGGGCTGATGAACACAAGATTGGTAGGCAATACAGCAGGCTGCTAGCTTCAGAGGGTGATGAAGCCAAGATCAGCAAGTAACATGGCAGATTGTTGGCTCACAGACTATAAAGTTAGCAATCTCAAGATTAGCAGACAGGCCACTGGTTCAAGTCCAGGAACCGGAGAGCCAGGATCCAGATCCAGCAGAAAGCCACTGAACTTGGCCAGGACATCCATATATATACACTGGAAGCAGGCCACACCCCTGAGGAAACTCCCTCTCAACTGATTGGCTGTTCATAGTAGATCTCATCAGGGAGGTGATTAGGTTATATCAGATCTCATCACGGGGATGACTACATCATAACTGCTAGACCACTGAGAATCGTGGCCCAGCCAAGTTGATATACAACCTTAAGTATCACACAATGGTATCTATGATACCCCTGCACAAGACCACAGAAACTTTAGAAAAGACCACATTCCAACCAATCACAAGGATCCCCTTGAAAACATCCCTTAGTACAAGAGAGTAGCAACTTAAAAAAAAAAAAAAAAGGAAATGAGTCATTCCTAGTGATCCATGATTGATTCATACTAATCATTATTGTCTTTTAAGTGTTTTGTTGTTAGGTGCCATCGAGTCGGCTCCCACTCATAGTGACCCTATGACCTGAAACACCAACAGGTCCTGGGCCATCCCCACAATGCTTGCTATGCTTGAGCCCATTTGTACATTCACTGTGTCAATCCATCTCATTGAGGGTCTTCCCCTTTGTCTCTTTACAAAACGTGATATCCATCTCCAAGGACTGGTCCCTTCTGGCAACATGATCAAAGTAAATGAGACGAAGTCTGGCCATTCTATTACTCCTAAGGAGCATTCTAGCTGTACTGTACTTCTTCCAAGATAGATTTGTTCATTCTTCTGGCAACCCATGGTGTTTTCTGTATTCTTTGTCAACACCACAATTCAAAGGCATAGATTCTTCTGTAGTCTCCTTATGCATTATCCAGCTTTCACAAGTATATGAGGAGATTTAAAATACTATGGCTTGGGTCAGGTACACCTTAGTCTTTAAAGTGACATCTTTGCTCTTTAGCACTTTAACAGAAGAGCTCTTCTGCAGCAGATTTGCCAGTATGATACATTGTCTGATTTCTTTGCTGCTTCAATGAGCATTGATTGTGGATCCAAGTGAAATGAAATTCCTGACTTCAGTCTTTTCTCCATTTATTGGAATGTTGCTTATTAGTCCAGTTGTGAGGATTTTTGTTTTCTTTAGGTTCATGTGTGTCTTGGTTCTCTAATGCTACTATAACAGCATAATAGTGGATGGCATTAACAAACAGGGATTTATTCCCTTACAGTTTGGGAGGCTAAAAGTCCAAGTTCAAAGGGCTCTAGGGGCTGGGCCCTCTGACCTTGGGCTTCAGCTCTGCCTCCTGTTCCAGACCCACTAGAGCTGGAGGCTTTTTGTGACTCATGCAGCTGCTGGCTGCTGAGGCTGATGAACCCAAAATCAACAAGCAAAATGGCACAGTCCCGAGATTAGCAGACAACATGGCAGGCCACTATTTCAACTCCAGGAATGATCCAAAGATCAACAGGCAATATGGCAGACCAGGGAGCTCTGGTAGCATAGTGGCTAAGACACTTGCCTGCTAACCAGACGGCTGGCGGTTCAAACCCACCAGCCACTCCTCGGAAGGAAGGTTGGGCAATCCTACTTCCGTAGTGATACTGCCTCGGAAACCCAAGGAGGGGTCGCTATGAGTCAGGGCCGACTCGACGGCACATAACAACAACAACAACAACAACAACAGTGAGATGAAGCCTTGGCCAAATGCAGGATCCAGATATGCCAAAAACTAGAGATCTTTCTCAAAGCTTCTCCTCATAGACTGGAAGCAGGTCATACCCCAAAGGCAGCTAATTAGCTCCTCACAGTGATTCCACCATGGATTTGATTACCAGTCTCATAATGGGGAATAACTATATTCAGCTGCCCAGCCACTCAAAACCATGGCCCAGCCAAGTTGACACACAACTTTAACTACTACAAGGTGTAAGCCACACTGAAGACTGCAGTCTTTGATTTTCATCAGTAAGAACCTCAAGTCATCTTTGCTTTCAGCAAGCAGGATTGTGTCATCTGCATTTTGAAGGTTGTTATGAGTCTTCCTCTAATCCTGATGCCACATTCTTCTTCATATAGTCCAGCTTCTCAGGTTATTTGACAGCATAGAGATTGAATCAGTGTCATGAAAGGATAAAACCCTGATGCATACCTTTCCTGATTTTAAACCATTCAGTATCTCCTTGTTCTGTCAGAATGACTGTCTCTTGGTCTAGGTACAGTTTCCTCATAAGCATAAGTAAGTGTTCTGGAATTCCCATTCTTTCAAGTGTTTATGAACTTTTAATTCATAATTTGTTTCACAACTTTCCCAGGACCTACATTCCTCTCTTTTCTGAAAGTCCTGCCACACTGGTTCATCTTTGTGCCCATATGTTCCATTCATCCTTGGACATCTGAGCAGTTATTCTTGTTTCTTTTGGGATGAAACGCTCTTCCTGCTTGACTCAGTATATCTAAACCCTGACCTTTCCTCAACATCCTGCTCAAATTTCTCATGATAAAACCCCCTCTGTGAAGCTTTCAGAAGCCCTGGGTAGTATGAACAATTAATGCTCTCAGCTCTTAACCAAAAGTTTGGAAGTTCAAGTCCACCCAGAGGCACTCAGAAGAAGGTGCCGTGATCTACTTCTGATCATCAGCCATTGAAAACTTTGTGGGGCACAGTTCTACTCTGACACTCATGGGATATACTGGTTTACTAGTTTGTTCTTCATGAAGCGTTCTTCATGATTCTGGACTTCTCCCTGTACTAAGTCTTGATTGTATTCAGCAACCCTAAACCTCTTTGGAATGGCAGCAGTGGCGATTCAGCAGTAAATTCTCACCTTCCGTGCTAAAGACCCGACTTCAATTCCTGACTAACACATGTTATGTGCAAACACTACCCATCTGTCAGTGGAAGCTTGCATGTTGCTATGATGCTGCACAGATCTCATCTTAGTCTGGAACTTCCAGACTAAGACAGACTAGGAAGGAAGGCTTGACAATCTACTTTTGAAAATCTGCCAATGGACACAATAAAATACATTAAAAATCTGTTCCACTACCTACATTGATGAGTAGCAAGTGGGGTCTTAAAAGCTTTCAAGCGGTCATCTAAGATGAAGCTAATGGTCTCCTATCATTGGAACTGAAGAAGAGTACCAAAAAATAAAAAAAAAAAAGAAAAAGAACACTTGGAAGGAATCGGCCCTAGAACATGATGGACCTCAAAACCAGAAGAACTAGATGGTGCCTGGCTACCAATGCCCACCACTCGGGAAAGGATCAAAACTGGAGATCCTGGATAGAGTGGGAGGAAAAATGTGGAACAAAATCCAAAAACACAATAATGACCAGAATTACTGGTCAGATGGAGTCTGGTGGGACCCCCAATATGATGGCCCTGGGATATACTTCAGGCCTGGAATAAAATTTACTCCCAGGGGCTGGCTCTTCACCCAATAGTAATTAAGATGTACACGCAGACCACTCAACCCTGGGTGATGCACCCACATACTCTACGGAGATGTATCCCTTGGAGCAATCAACCATGGGGCACCAGAGGGGCAACATTTGCACGGATGAAATGCAGGACACATGGGAGTGTATAACTATGAGGGACATGGTGTAGGTGGCGGTTACCAGGTAGGGAGGGCTGTAGAGTGGGTTAGGGTTGGGGATGGTAAATGGGGAGTGAAACTAAATGCACACGAAATGTTGAATGTAAAACTAACTCTGCTCTGTAAACTTGGACCTAAAGCACAATAAAAAAAGAAAGAAAGAAAATCTGCCAGTGGAAACCCTATGGATCAAAACAGTCTGATCCGCAAGGGATCATGAGGATGTGCAGGACAGGAAAGTGCTATTTTATGTTATACATGGGGTTTCCATGTGTTGGGTGCCAACTCAATGGCAGTTAACAATAGT